TGGGGAGGAGAAGGAGGGGGGTTGGGGGGGAAGAGAAGTTGTTAGGGAGGAGGAGGGCTTAGGGGGCATTAGGAGGAGGGGTTAGGAGGAGGATGGGGAAGAGGAGTGGTTAGGGGGAGGAGGGGCTAGGGAGATGAGGGTGTAGTTCTTTGTGATCTATCAGAAATGAAGTAGGCAGGGCTGACACCATGTATCTACGCATTCAAGCCTTTTGTCATGGAAGTTGGGAGCATATTTGTGTGGTTTCTTTAGTTCAGTGAATTGCTCTGTGCACGTTGCAGCTTTTTTTGGCTATACCTTTGTTTGAGTTTCTTGCCCCGAGGGCGACTTGGCTCACCAATATCCACCAATAACGGAAATAACTGTTTGGGTGAACGTTCCCTTTCCCTTTGTCTTGAATGGCGTTCATTGTACTTCATCCCTGACACTAGAATAGAGATAACAGCCCCGTCGCGTCTTCCCCTTCGCCAGTCTTGTATTGTTTCTTCATGAGGCTTTGTTGCCAGCTGCAGTTTACCACCAAAGACCGACGTTTCCTGTCCTCTTCACGTGTTCTAATCTGATATGTAAACATTTCATGTGGAAAGTTTTTGGGTGAGCTGAAATGTCCTGTACAGTGTACCCCACCAATCCGCTCGCCTGATTTAAGAATATAGGAAAACAAAATGACTTCACTTTTCCTGGGGGAAATGCTGCTCTGGGTCTTCTACGGTGCTGCTCACCAAGAGCTGACGGACAGGAGATTAAAACGGCCAGATGTCTAGACTTTTGGTCATGTGAGCTGCACAGGACTTGCAAGTGTTTTACCCCGTCCACCACTTTACATCTCTCCCAGCAAGAATAAAGTAACTTACAAATCTGCAGAAATATTTTTTTTTTAAACACTGTAACTTCATCACTCACTAAAAACTGGTTTTGAGCTCTTCCCGTGACTTAGGCTGAGATGATGTCATCAGTCTGCTGCAGGCAGTAGGAAGCATTTCCTCAGTCCCCTCTCCCACAGTGATCAGTCTGCTGCAGGCAGTAGGAAGCATTTCCTCAGTCCCCTCTCCCACAGTGATCAGTCTGCTGCAGGCAGTAGGAAGCATTTCCTCACTCTCATATCCCCCAGTGATCTCATTGCAACAGTGTAACTTTGTAGCAAGTCAGAAGGTGAAAGGCTGCAGCTGGGGGCTGATCTGTGTGTCTGTCAGACATTTGTGCACACAGCCAAGAACTGCACAGGCAGCAGGATTAACATGATTGTGTCACCTCTAAGTCGGCATTTCCCTGGATGATCCCTGAACAAAATTGGGCAATTAGACCTTTGTCAACTATAATCTCACCTGGAATACCTGGAATCGTTAGATTTGCACATTGCATGGCACGTGTGCACTTGAAAACAATATATCTGATGGTGGGTCCACCTTAAAGGAGAACTATGGGGTACGTGTTTTTCCCCACAGTTCTCTTTAGGGTCACGGGAGGACACAAACTAGCGTCCTCCCGTGACCCAAAGCTCGGCATATATACTGAGAGTGCCGCAGCCGGGACGGTCTATTGCAGTGTGTGCAGTTTGTATCCTCTCACCTTCTGGCACCTGTAAGGGCTCATTCATGCGACCAGAAAGGGCCATGCATACGTTTGTTTATGCATGGAGAGGCCCCTGGGACTGCAGACAGACTGCATTCAAGGACTGTTTTTTGTCTAAGGCCTGGTCCACATCTGGGCGTTTTACAGCGCGTAGGAGCGCCCTACGCCCAAAGAAGTACAGGAGCTTCTTTGGGGCGTATTTGTCGCGTGTATCCAGTAGGAAACAGCCGGATAGCCCTCGGAAACGCACGTTTGTTGCACGTTTCTTTTACCTCAAATCGCTGTAAAAACGCGGTCCACACCTGGGCGTTTTACAGCGCGTAGGAGCGCCCTACGCCCAAAGAAGTACAGGAGCTTCTTTGGGGAGTATTTGTCGCGTGTATCCAGTAGGAAACAGCCGGATAGCCCTCGGAAATGCACTTTGTTGCACGTTTCTTTTACCGCAAATCGCTGTAAAAACGTGCGGCAAACGCGCATATTCCGTACGCCTAGGTGTGAACCCAGCATAATGGTATGGGGAAGAGGACCTGTACTTACCCGATCTCTGCTTCCCCTAGCAGATGGCGCTCACCTCTCTCCCCTCCGGTTTGTGGACTGTCCCTTGGCCTACACCCAGATAATGCAGAGCTATGGGTCCTGAATTAGGCATGATGGGTCTCCGACCACCAGAGCAGAGGGGGAAGAGGTTGCAGACAAAAACAAGCAGGCGACCCTTGCAGCATTTTTTTTTTTACCCTTAAATTTGAGGAAGTTCCAAGTCATTTGTAAAGTCCGCTTTCAGAATGGTGGTTTCCATTGCGTAGGTTGAATGTTTCTTTTGGGGGGCTCTTACTGTTGTAGATCATCTCCTTCATTCTCGGGGAAGCTGGCGGCAATCCTTTTGTGTGGTTCTTTTCAGCACAGAAGGTAATTTTAATATTTTGCAGAGGCAGAATGTCGGCGAAATGACTCTGCCGTTTGCCAGGTGGATTATTTTGCGTTGGTGCCAGCTGAAAGACTCCTTCCTGCCGAATTTTACAGCCCACGAGGGCATTCTGTGCTGGCGTTCAGAGTTCTGTGGCTGCTGATTACCTGCTTGCCTCAAGAAATACTTAACCAAAGGTCGTTCCGAAGAAAAGTTAATAATACTTGAGATGTTGCGTGCTATAGCATGAAGTATTCTCAGGCTGCTTAGTAGAAAAAGTTGTTTTGTAGTTGAGTAAGGCGACCATGATGCAGGAAGTCTGCAGAGAGGGGACTTTTAAAGCTACTCTGTCACAAACGAAACCCCCCCCAGCCCCCCAAAAACAGCATTGCAGAACACATTTCCTCATGAGCGCCTCCATTGCATCTAGCCTCTGCTCGCTTGCAGCAACGCTAGAATCTTCAGCGTGCGTACTTCTGTATGTCCGATGCCCGTGTCTGTCCACGGTCTCCTCCCCCCGGCTGCCATGTTATTAGCATGTACCTTAAGAGCTGCAAGAACGCTCTAGTGGCATCGCGGACAAGAGGTCAGACCACAGTGGGCAGCGGGAGATGCGGTCGTGTAACACACCCAGACATGTCTGGTTCTGAAGTTTCTAGTAACGCAGACAAAAATAAAAGTGCTTTTTTGCTACTGGCACAGAGGAGAAGCATGGAACCCCGTTCTGATTTGTATGCCGTCCGTGCAGTTTATCATCTTTAATGTCGACTTAAAACTGTAATTCCGCGCTATGAAGAAGCTGCTGTGCAAGACGTGGCCAAAAGGCACTGGCAGGGTAATAATTATCAAAGTGCACTGCGCTAATAAATAATCAACTATAATTAATAATGTTCATCATACAAACTTCAAAAAGTGTCTAAATGTTATAAACTGAATAAATCCAAAAATAATCAAAATACATGAAATTGTGACACAATCATTGGAAGGGATGCACCGATATATATCAGCCAAAAATGACACGTGGCAAAATGCTGAAAGTGCCAATGTCTTGGTGATACAGCGGTGCATCCGTTCTTTCTCTCCTCCCCTCTGGGCGCTGCTCTGTGTCCTAGCAGGGAGGAGAGAAACTGTCACAGGCGGCCGAGCGCTGCAGGAGGAGAGTGCTGTGAGCGTCCGGCGTGTCTTCCCCCCCCCCTCGCACTGCTCACTCAGCCTCCTGTGACAGCTATCAGGATGGAGAGCGGGTTCAAGCAGTCGGTGATCGCTGAGTGTTTGTACATAATAGAGGACAGAGTATGTTTATCCTCAATTATGAATGGGAAGTGATCTACATCAGCTCCTGTTCATTCCTGATTGTGGTTATAGTAAACGCACAACTTGTCCTCATGTTATGATTGAACAAGAACACTTTGTATAGAGGATTCCTGTTCATTGATAGCAGGGGCTGCAGAAAAAAAGACTGAGGACTCTGTGTTCTCAATCTCTTTTTCTATTTTAAAAGGGAAATATCAGGGGTCTGCTTAGACCCCCAAAGCCCCTAAAAGTTAATTAAAAAAATACAAATATTTAATAAAAATGAATAAAAATAAAATGTTTTTAAAAAAAATGGAAAATGTCAGAATAAAAAACATTTTCGGTTTCGGCCTGACATTTGTTAAAATTTCGGTTTTGAAATGTTCATTTCGGTGCACCTCTAATCATTGGCGGTGATCCATGTGAATCATATTGTAAAATTGAATAAATATAAAATCTACAATGAGCAGAGTATATAAATATATACAAAAGTGTGACAATATAAATAGGCAGTCGTGATCAATAAAATGTAGTGCAGTGCACTTATTATAATTATCATTGTCGGGTCTTTTCTGCCCATGCGTGCCCGCTAGGGGGCGCGCGCGAGCAGAAAAAAATTGCCGTCTGGCGACGGCAACCCGCAAATACAGCAGTGCCGTCCGTCCGTTTTTTTACTACGGGCGGACGGCAAGAGGTTAATGTCAGTCTCATCTGACAGAGGTGGGCTGAGTGTCCACAAATCATGGAGGAGTCAATAGAAGAGATAATACCTGCTCATATATGCAGATACATAAGCTGAGCCTATTATGCTTCTTGGCTCCTGCAGCTTTTCATGTTTTCTGGACTTTCACATCACTGGAAAGCCTGTTGCTTACAGAATCCAATAGCTCAAGCAGAAATTTACATGCACAAGTGTATGAGGCCGAGCAGAGACTGATTCCTTTATAGTGTCTTTTTGGATGGTCCATAGTGCTCTGGGTGTCTTTGTATTCTTAGGTATAGGCAGTGCAAATATTGGTAAAGATAAACAAATCTATAACAGCCAATCAGATTTCAGTTTATATAGATCAGTGGAGGATGAAATCTGATCGGTAGTTGTGGGTTATTGTGCTTAACCTTTTCATGTAAATTTTATTTTTACCACCTTTCTAATGGCTGTGTACCCAAAGGTCAGTTTGCTAGCCCTTCAGAAGTACATTTTTAGATTGAAAAGCCTTGTTTCTTTTTGCAGGGTTCTATGGACGACCATGGACTATGGAACAGAGGAAAGAACTTTTCAGAAGGTGAGCGGGGCTCGAGGGGAAAACAACTTCATTGAATTAGCCACCTTTTTGTTATGATCTGGAAACGGCTGTGCTGCAGGATAATGTATAGACCTTGAATGTGATCTTCCTAATGCATTGTGTATGAATGGATAGAAACATCTATTTAATGGCCTATATTTTGTAAATAAATGTGTGTATAGGAGGCATCTTTGCGTATTGCACAGTCCCATGTGCAATACGCAAACTTTCTGTAATAGTGCTCTCAAAGGAAGTGCAGCAATACTTTTTTTTTTTTTTTTTTTTTTTAGGGATGTCCCGATACCACTTTCTCGATACTAAGTACTATTACTTTCCCTCAGGTACTTGCCGATATTTTTCTAAAACAATACAGACTAATGATTTAAGGGCAGTATGTCCCCAGAGCAGAGTGCCTGTCCCCAGAGCAGAGTGCCTGTCCCCAGAGCAGAGTGCCTGTCCCCCCCGTGCCGCATGTGGATCTCTCCAGGGCTCTGTGGCTATGGTGTGGAGAGTTGGAGGAGGACATATAGAACCGGACAGGCACTGCCAAAGACATCTACTACCAGGTCCCCAGCAGGCTCCCTGAAGTTCCCACAAATGCAGGAACTTAGACAGCCGCTGCAGTGTAAAAATGTAAAGGGCCGGTATCGGCCTTAAGCATCAGGGCATTTTCATGAGTACAAGTATTTGTGAAAATGCCTGTTATCAGCCCTGATACTAGTATCGGCATCGGGACATCCCTACTTTTTTCACTATAAAATATTGAGACTTGCAGCAAGTTTATCTGATATTAGTTCATCTCAGTGCAAAACTTACTCAAGTGAATGGGCTGCCTGCACTGCATCAAATCCTGACATCATGGCTTACAGCTGAGAGGAAAAGCCGTGGCATCTAATAAAGAAAATCGGCAGTGGGGCACTCACGGTATAAATCACAAAGGGGCAGGAAATGCACCTGTAGTAATTGAATGAGCGGGGGTGTCAGCCACAGTTTTGCATTAGTTTGGGCACACTGCATTCACACTGAGCGCTCGTACGTCATGGCAGAGGGCTTTGAGAATGCTCAACTCTGACTGGAGCACAGATTGCAGTGGGTGGGACAGTTGTATGACCGTTGCATGTGCATGGGAGGGGGATATTGTGAAGGGAAGGGGCCCTGTTACATAGGCTGTATGGGGCCCCATGATTTCTTATGATGTCACTGGTTGCCCCTCCCATGACTCGGGAGGGGATTTTCAACAAGCAGCAGCAGAAGTGGAGGAAGCATGGATCCACAGAATGAATGGAGGAAAAGCGGGGTGATCTTTGTGCTGCGGGTACCCGGGTAGAGTTTCCTCTCCAGCAAGGATAACAGTGAGCAGCACATCACCAAATCTCACTTCAGATCTGGTGAGACTAGAATTTAGAGGTAGCAGTGCCCTGGATCTCACACTTCAGATATACAGCTACAGAACAGGGTCTCCTAGACACAGAAGTGCACTGCTATTCTTCAGAAGGAATTTGAGACCAGGTAAGCTTTCCCAGCTACTGCTTAGACACAATTTAACATTTCTAGATGTTTCCTTTATTTGTGTTTAGGTCCACACCACTCTATTCAGCACAGCATGTCAGATAAAATGCAATATGTCCCAAGCACATGTGATTTCTAATGTCCCTTTTTGTTTGCCGTAGGCTTCAGAAGTGGGGTCTTAACACCTACCTGTACGCACCAAAGGATGACTACAAGCACAGAATGTTCTGGAGGGAGATGTACTCTGTGGAGGAAGCTGGTGGGTGTCACCTTTAGGCATACGGAGATTACTTGCGCGTTTTATAAAGGAATGCTCTAGTCAATAATTGCTGTCACACATCAGTTAGAATGTCAAAGAGAGCAACATGTTATAATGAGAACAGTTTCCCCTCCTGCCTGTGCAGAGAACCATTCATCTGCTTCATAAAATACCATCTTGTGTGACATTTTAATTGAAGCCTAATTTCAGCCGACATTTTTCTTAGCTTTATAAACCATGGGGAAGAGGCAGAGGCGTATCCGCGGGCTTTTTATTTATTTTCTTACCATGGCCCCTTTGGGCAAATTTGCTCTCATTTTCTATATGGCCACTGGGACAGACGTGAGTAGAATCTGTTTTCTACGCAACATTTTTATATAATATATGATTTTTTTTTTCTTTTTTTCTTCTACAGATCAGTTAATGACCTTGATCTCCGCTGCTCAAGAATTTGGGATTGAGTTTATATACGCCATTTCTCCCGGGCTTGATATAACCTTTTCCAATCAGAAGGAAGTGTCCACGCTAAAACGCAAATTAGACCAGGTACATATTTGTATTAACATAACATCTGACATTTTTGCATTTTCATTACGTGTTTCCGTAAAAGAACAAACTGACTCCTGCTAAAGCCAAACATTTCTAATTTTGACACGTCAGTCCAGAGAACTCGCTGCCATTTTTCTGCAGCCAAAAAGCCATACTTCCAACGTGGAAACAAGGCTAAGTTACTCAACTATGCATGAAAACCTAGAAACTGGGGTGCAGAAAAATGGCAGCAGGGGCTCTGGACTGATGAGTCACAATGTGAAATATTTGGCTGCAGCGGGAGGCAGTTTGTTCATGGAAGGGCTGGAGAGCGGTACAGCGGAAGGATTAGAGGTATCCGACTAGAGCCGCAGCTGGCTCCTTTTGCGCCTGAGGCAAGAACAGAAAATTGTGCCCCCCAACAGACCTGTGCGGTATGTGACCTCATGTGCCTTGCCTCCAGGATGGCGGCGCGCATGCGCAGAATGCACTGGTGGCCAAATCCAAAATAGCATAAACCATGTATTTTGTTTGACGAAACTAATGTAAACATTTTTAGTTTCCGTTCATTTCGTCCGAAACAAATTTGTAGTCTTTGGACATGTCTAGTAATATGTGTGCATGAGTGAGTGCGTGCGTACGTGTGTGTGAAGGTTAATTATTTTTTAAATGTTTTTTTACTGTTGGGGGCTTCAGGGAAATATCACCCCTGACATTTCCCTTTTGAAATAGAAAAGTGATTGGGAACACAGAGTCCTCTGCCCATACAGGTAGGGGAGAGCAGCAGGGATCCAAGGAGAAGCTGGAGCCTGTGCTGCTCCTCTTCTCCCTGCCGAGCCGTGGCTGTGTTGGCCGCCTGGCGCCCCTGCTGCCAATGGTGGCCTGTGCTCACCATAACAATAGGGGCAAGGGGGCGCAGCCAGGCCGGCGCTGGCTGCGCCCCCTCTCAACTGCGCCTGTGGCGTGTGCCCCACTCGCCCCATGGTAGCTGCAGCCGACATCCACAGAAGATCTGTGATTAGTTCTCCAAGATGTTTGGAACAACCTACCTGCCGAGTTCCTTCAAAAACTGTGTGCAAGTGTACCTAGAAGGAGGCAAAGGGGGGGTCACACAAAATATTGATTGGTTTTGGATTTTTCTTCTGTTCATTTACTTTCCATTGTATTCATTGATTAAAGTGTTTTATAGTTTTTATTTCTGAAAGCATTCTTTTATGTTTTCACACCTGCCTAAAACGTTTGCACAGTACTATACACTGAGTGGCCAGATTATTATGACCACCTGACGTTTGTAGGCAAATTAGCTATAATATCGCACTGAAGTTGCTAGAGGGCCAGACCATTATAAATAGGGAAGCAGGTTGTTTACCACGACAGAAGTGATTTGTTTCTGAAGATACGGGGAAACAACGCGATTTAACAACCTTTGAACGTGGGATGATTGTTGGCGCTCGGAGCCATAGAGCGAGTCTCAGCAAAACAGCAGAATTTGTTAAATGTTCAAGAGCAGCTGTTGTTAAATGGTTTAAAGACTGGACTGTCAGCCGAAAATCTGGGTCTGAACGTGCGAATTGTGGCCGTCAGCGACTAGTCAATGTTAGGGCAGAACGGGGGAGGGGCAAGACTGGTACAAGACAACAGAAGGGCGACAGTGCCGTGTCAGATTCCTCGCATCACCTTTTATCATCTCGTGGAGTCATCTTGTGGCCCAACGAAGTATTGATGGGGTGGTCATAATAATCTGTTTTAATAAGAGAGGTATCGTTTATGTCTTTTATATCTTCCTGAGTGGACTTATGGAGTGTGTTAGTACACTTGCTGTCCTTAGTCTAATATTCTAGATTAGCGGCATACTATTAGTGGAGGAAGTGCAGAGAGTGGCTTTAGTAATAAGCAGAACTGTCAGAATTGATATTCCATAAAGAAGGTAAAATGTCAGTCAAATGTTCCTTTCTCTTTTCTAGGTCACTCAGTTCGGGTGCAAGTCGTTTGCTCTTCTGTTTGATGACATTGATCACAACATGTGTCCGGCGGACAAGGAGGTGTTCAGCTCTTTCGCTCATGCACAATTGTCCCTAACCAATGAAATTTTTCAGTACTTGGGTGAACCGGAAACCTTTTTATTTTGCCCCACAGGTAACTTTCTATTGGAGAACTGCGCAAGTCTTTTTTTTTTATTTTCTCTTTTGTCTTATTTTTTATCTTGTAACTATATATTGGAGATTTGTGCGAGTCAGAATCCTGCCATTTTCTTTTCTCTCCTTTTTCTGTTCACCAAGTCACTGGTCACTAGAGCTCTTGCTTTTAGTGTTGTGCCTGTATAGCTCCTCTCATACATATATGGCTACCCAGTGGTTGTGCCAAGCATTCAATCCTTCCATGTTACCTGTCTCAGCCTTCGGTCTTGTTTCATTCACCCATACTGCAATAGAAGGGAAGATGCGCATATGTGCTCTAGGCAGCTAGGACAGCTTTTAAAGAGACCCTGTCACATAATTGTAAACTCTCCGGCAAGCATGTACCTGTAAAATAGAAACATAACACTTACCTGCTCTGATAGACACTGTTCCTCTGCTGAGAAAGCATCATGTGAATTCCGCAGGAAAGCCAACTCTTTTTTTGAGTGTTGATGTCCTGGGTTCCCTGCATGGCTTTTTTAGTTTCTCTTGCTGACCTCTATGTCCCCATTGTCTTCTACAATGATATAGAAATCAGCAGGAAGGACCAGCGATCCCTGTGGGTGACCCAGTAGATCAGGGGTAGCCAAACTTCGGCACTCCAGCTGTGTAATGGAACTACAGATCCCATGAGGCATTGCAAGATTCTCACAGACATGACTCCCGGAGAGAGATGCATCATGGGATTTGTAGTTTCACCACAGCTGGAGGGCCGGAGTTTGGCTACCCCTGCAGTAGATCAACACTCTTGGAAGCGTTGATTTTTTTCCTGCGGATTTCTGGGCAGCATTCAGTGGTGTGTGCAACTAAATTGGTAAGTATTCAGTTTCTGCTTTATATGTGCATGCTTGCTTGATAGTTTTTAAGTGTCACAAGTTCTCTTTATTGCTAAACTCTCAGCAACTTTGATAAATAAATCACAATTATGTATCAATTTACATTCAGACCCCAACCTGTAATTGGACTGGAATACTTCAGCCCCATGGAGCATCAGCATACTAGTTCATCCTTCTGAGTGCTGCTCCTCTCAGGTGGTGGTACGTGGGAGATTAGAGGAAGCAGATATCCAGGTTGAGATGCTAATTCTATGTAAATAAAAATTCAAGGACATCACTAAAATATATATACCCAGAGTTCAACTTTAGGTTTTAGTAATCTTCTACGCAGCAGATATCAGGCTAAAGAATTGTAGTTATTGAAATCCTCATGATGTATAGAGCCTGTGGTCACATGTCATGTTCTCTGTTCCTTTTATAGAATATTGTGGCACATTCTGCTACCCGAATGTGGCTCAGTCTCCTTACCTGCGAACAGTTGGTGAGAAGTTACTTCCTGGTATCGATGTCCTCTGGACAGGTAAGAGAAGTCCCTCTTTTGTACCTTACGTGTAAGTAAATGTATGCTTGAGTGACTGACTTCTGCAAAGAGAGAGCCTAAAAAGAGTGAAAATAAGCCTAAAACTCCACATGCTGAAACATGCTAAATGGCAACATTTCAAGGATAAATGCACTTTAACACAAAGGCACTTCTCTTTTTTTTTTTTTGCCCTAACCTAACCCTCCCTTCTCCTCTACAGATGCATACGCACCTCAATCCAATTGCCTCAATTTTCGCTCTCCAGGCTGCTCCTGTGCATTACAGCCCCATAGACTTCTGTTGGCTACCCCTGATTGTCTGTGGGCTTGGTGAAGTCTATTGGGCTGTAATGTGCAGACATGACCAGGAGAGTGAAACACCAGAGGCAGCAGCCTTCTGACTGAGGTAGGTTTGCATCTGCGGTGGGTTAGGTTAGGCCAGGGGAGGGGTGCAAAAACGATAAGTGCACTTATCATTAAATATTTACTTGAGAAAAATAATAAAATGGACATAATGTACAAATCCACTATAGATTTTGTGTGTGTGTGTACACTGAGTGGCCAGATTATTATGACCACCTGACGTTTGTAGGCAAATTAGCTATAATTTTGCGCTGAAGTTGCTGCCTTTGAACGTGGGATGATTGTTGGCGCTCGGAGCCATGGAGCGAGTATCAGCAAAACAGCAGAATTCTTTAAATGATCAAGAGCAGCTGTTGTTAAAGTGTTTAAAGACCGGACTGTCAGCCGAAAATCTGGGTCTGAACGTGCGAATTGTGGCCGTCAGCCACTAGTCAATGTTAGGGCAGAACGGGGGAGGGGCAAGACTGGTACAAGACAACAGAAGGGCAACAGTGCAGTGTCAGATTCCTCGCATCACCTTTCATCATCTTGTGGAGTCATCTCGCGGCCCAACGAAGTACTGATGGGGTGGTCATAATAATCTGGCCACTCAGTGTATGTATGTATGTATTATATAGATCTATCTCACTGTAATTACTTTACCATTTCATGCAGGCCCGAAGGTTGTTTCTAAAGACATTTCTGTGGAATCCATTGAAGAGGTTTCCAAAATCCTCAAGAGATATCCGGTGATTTGGGACAACATACATGCCAATGATTACGACCAGAAGAGGCTTTTCCTAGGGCCTTACAAGGGGCGATCCACTGAGCTCATTCCCCGTCTCCAGGGAGTCCTGACCAATCCGAACTGTGAATTTGAGTCGAATTACGTGGCTATTCACTCCCTTTCTACGTGGTATAAATCGAACATGAATGGCGTGAGGAAGGATGTCGTAATGAGTAAGTGACCAGTTGAAATGCCCAGTTGGATTCTCATTTTAAAGCTGTACATCCAGATTGAATTTCCTGCCAAAAGATTTGCATTTATGCCTATCCAGTTCTAAGATGTACACCGCTCTACAGCAGAGCCCTGTCCCGGGGTTTTTGTACTGACTTTTTTTTTTGTTTTTCTCCTTTTGCAGCTGACAGTGAAGATAGCACTGTGTCCATCCAGATTAAACTAGAAAATGAAGGCAGTGATGAAGAGTTGGAGACCGATATGCTGTACAGTCCTCAAATGGCTTTGATATTGGCTCTGAAAGACTGGCTGGAGGAGTTCGGAGAACCTCAACAGTACAGCAGTACGTTACCAATATACAGTTTATCACAATAGGAGGATTAAAGAACTTTGTAGTTTAATTCATGACGCAACACATGAAGGTTTGAGCACTCATTTTATAGATCCGTATACACCTTGTGGTGGAATTACCAGGGTCGCAGTAGTCGCATGTGCGACCGGGCACTGGAGTTCCACTGCATGGTTTCTTGTACCGGGGCCCTAAGGTTTTAAGTTACGCCTCTGTATACACAATACATTTTTTATATTTCACATACTTGTGTTGCACTTCTTGCGTATTGCACAGCTCTTTACAGACCACACAGTCCTACAATTCATGGCTGCAATTAGGATAAAAGCACAGTCTGATTTCCATGCTGCAGGGCAATCTGATCATACACTCAGCATGCATGCAGGGACTGTGCCTTGTACTCCGACTGGGTACCTCCGTCAGAAATCGGCTTCCTCTCCGCTGGAATCCGAATTCCAGGTTCCTCAGCCCAAACCGGACTAATTATTGGCCAGAACCAATATATTAGGAGAGAAAGCTAAACCCCTCAAACATCAGACAACACCAATGTTGAAATGAAAACCAAGAACTGCTTTATTGAAGAAAGCACACAGAGTTTATACCTCAGAATCAGATAAGAGTTCAGTGTGTTGAACAGTTCCCACCCCTAGACAGCCGGGTGCCGCATTGGAATTCCTTAAGCACAGACACTCTTTGAACCTAATGAATGTCCTTAAAGGAGAACTATGAGGTGAGTGCTTTTCACTCACCTCATAGTTCTAGCCGACCTGTGACAATGAGACTGTCACAGGTCGGCTCAGTAGATCGGGAGGTGAGCGAACACATACCGGTGTTCGCTCACTTCTCTATCCTGTCACAGCTCTCTGCCGTGACGGGAGTGGCTGGATTCCCCCCTATCCGCCAGCGTTGACTGGCGGAACGGACTGGGGAGGGGGCGGGTAGATAGACAGAGATAGGCAGAGTCTCTAGATAGGCAGAGCCAGCTGTCACTCACCCAGCTGGGCGGATCCAGACATAATTGTCAGGATCCGCTTCAGCTGCGGCGTCTCAGTATACCGCGAGCTGTAGCACGCGGTATACTGAGCTTAGGGTAACGGGAGGACGCTAGTTTGTGTCCTCCCGTTACCCTAAGGAGAACTATAGGGAAAAGCCCTGACCCCATAGTTCTCCTTTAATTATATAAGAGCTTGATCACCATAAACAAACAATGGTCACTCCAGACTGCCTACTGCCTATAATGAACACAAGGTCACTTAACTGTCATGTCAGGGGAAACATGCGTTCTGGCTGGAGAGGCCCCGGGGGTGACAGGCTGGACATACCAAGGTAAGAGGGGACTTTCTTGTTAATCAGGAAGCCAGGTGGCGAGTCATTACACGCCACCTGGCTTCCTGAATAGGACTTCCGTTACTTGGTAATTGGTATCAGCGAGTACTGAAAAAAATTATCGGTACTCTACCCAAATACCGGTATCTGTGCATCCCTAGTTTTAACCACTCATGCAAGCCGCCGCCATATATACTTATTATGGCCCGGAAGTGGTTGTAGGTCTGAAATAAGCTTCCTGGAGAAAATGCTGCTTTGTGTTCCCTCTGCTGCAGGTATTCTTAACCTTTTTAATGACTACAGACCCCCATTGGGTTGTCCCCATACCCCCTGTTAGGTACCAGGATGACTTTTAAAAAAAATTTCAAAAAGCATTTTATCGCATCACAAAAATACACAGGATAGCGACAACTAGTGAGATGTTTTTGTTGTCCAGTCAAATTGTTGAATTAAAGGGCAGGTACTAACAATGTGACTTCCATGTCCTCTTTCACATCAAGTTGGTTTTAGGTTCAATTACAAAGGACGTTTGTTTAAAGCAGAACTCCAGGAATTTTTTTAAATTAACCCTTGCAGAGGGGCTACCCCCGCACTTCAACGGTTAACTGCTCGTTTGTGGCTAGGTTAAAAAAGAAACAAAGAATTACTCACCCAAAGCTCCTCGCTTCTTAGACCGGTCGCTGGACTGTCTCTCCCCTCCTCTGCAGCTGTCTAAGATCCAGTAGATCATCACCTCTATACACTGTGCATAGACGTGAGGACGCTAAGGAAGAGACAAATCTGCTGCAGAGGAAGGGACAGGGTGGAGGGAGCTCCATGACAGCTGGCCGGCGCGGATCTTTGGGCGAGTATATCTTTGTTTTTTTTTAGCACCTAGACACAAACAAGACACTTAAAGGGTTTCTAAACCCTCCGGTTTTCTTGCATATATCTACTGCTAGCAAGCAGTAGATATGTGCAAAAAGTGTTTTAAAAAAACCCGCTTTAAAAGCGGTTTAAACTTAACCCCGTCTTCGCCGCGCGCTCCCGTTCGAAAACCAGAAACTGCTCGGGCGGCCGCAAAGCATCCTGGAGCGGGCGCATGCGCAGTTCGGATTTTCGGCCGGGAGACGAGGAGAGACGCAAGGTAAGTCTATGGACGCGTACACCCGCATGCAGACACCGTGGGACAGGAAGTGCCAGCAAGCAGAGAGGAGTCGGCGCTGGATCAGAGACCCGCAGCAGCGCTGGAGGGACAGATGAAAAGAACAGGAAAGAAGAAGATCGGAATAAGAGACATCATTTAGGGTAAGTGCTTTAATTAACATTGGGGGGAGGGAAAACAGTTTTTTGACTTTAATGTCACTTTAATCCTTGCAGTGCAGGGCTAGCCCCACTGCAAGGGTTATTTCAAGGGTTAATTCCTGGAGTTCTGGTTTAAAATTATTCAGAGATCCAGTCTCATAACCCCAATCATTTTGATTTCCAACTCTAAGTTTAGGCATTTTGTCATGTGGTCTGTGTTGAAAGGGAAGGTCAGGCAGTCAAACACTGATTCTTCCCTTTTTAACACAAGATCACATGACCAAATTTCCCCTACTCCTGGTCACCTGACTAGCATTAGAGAAAGCCTAGAGCAGAATTTTATTCAGAAAATGTCCAGTTTCATCCACTCCACATGATTGTTGGTGTTTGTTTATGGGCCTTCTTTTAATGCATGAGGGTATTGTAATAGTTTTTATGTTATCCTTGAAAATATGAATAAAAATAATAAAGAGAAAATGTATTATGTCCTAACTGTATCTAAACAAATTTCAGGCAGGCAAGTCGCTCTCAGCGGGGCCAAGACTGGCGCTGTTGGAATGGCGCCATTGATATCCACTCAATCCTTAAATGCCGCAACATCCGTCACTGCTATGTACCAGCAGCCCATAATGAGCCAGGGAGGGGCGTTGGGCACCGAGCCACCTGTGCTGGCTAAAGAGGAAGAGAAGAAGCAGCTGGAAGAGGAGCCAATGGAAATGGTGGAAGAGAAGGTCGAGGATGTCAACAAGAACGTGACAGACATTGGCGAGGCCAAAATGTCAGAAGAGTTGAAGCCTATGGACACAGACAAAGAAGGCGTAGGGGAAGCAAAGTCTTCCGAATCGTGCATGCAAGATGACGTGTGCATGCAGACCGACGAGCAGATCAGTAAAGAGCTGTTTGTCCCCGGGCCTAATGAGAAGCCTCTTTATACTGCCGAAGGTGTCAGCCTGGACGATTTACAATTACTGGCTGACTTGTTCTTTTTGCCTTATGAACATGGAGCAAAAGGTGCTCAGATGTTGAAGGAATTTCAGTGGCTCCGGGCGAACAGCAGCGTTGTGAGCGTTAACTCTGAAGGCAAAGATGTAGAAAAAGTAAGTGCAAGTTTCTGATGGACACTGTTAAAAACGCAGGCCGTTTCATTTTATTTTACTACTTTAACTAGAGAGATTGGCACCTTGAAGCTTGTTGCTTCAGACACCTAACGTTTCCTAGGGCCATTGGAGTTATAGAAGAAATTAATAGTAGAAATATGTCACCAGCACACCAGACCGATCATTAGAGCAAATAATTTATTGACGTATGCTCTCTCTTGCAAGGGCTTTCAGGGCCTGCTGAAGGGGACCTTGCGTGACCTCAAAAGCGCTTGCAAATGAGAGACAGCATATGTCAATAAATCGATGTTTATTTGCTCTAATACTGGTGACATATTTCTACTATCAGTTGGTAGCGGCGCCATCCGCAGTCATTCCTAGCACCCATTGGTGTATCCATATGGGAATTTTGGTAAGGAGTGCCGCAAGGATCTTCTATATAGAAGAAATTAAAGTGCATCTGTGGGAAGGGCTTTTTCCCATAGTTCTCCTAAGGGTAATGGGAGGACAAAAACTAGCGCCCTCCCGTCACCCAGAGCTCAGTATACCGCCAGCTATAGCTCGCGGTATACTGAGACGCCGCAGCCGGGATGGATTCTGACATTACTGTCGAGATCCACCCAGCTGCGTGAGTGACAGCTGGCTCTGCCTATCTAGAGGCAGAGCCAGCTGTACCCTCCCCCGTCTGTTCCGCCAGTCGGAGGGGGAGGGGGGAATCCCTGCAGGGAGCCGTGAGTGACAGTCACGGCTCTCTGCAGGGACATGATCAAAAAGTGAGCGGGCGCCGGTATGTGTTCGCTCACTTCCCAATCTATTGAGACAACCTGTGACAGTCTCATTGTCACAGGTCAGCTAGAACTATGAGGCTGAGTGATTTTCACTCGCCTCATAGTTCTCCTTTAAACATTTACATATTAAGCTTTAATACAAGCCATAACTGAGCTCTCTAGCTGCATGTGCTGTGGAGTAATTTACCCTCAAAGATTACAACCGACACTGACGTTGGTTTTATTCAGTTTAAAACCGCTTACAACACCAGGCTGCCAAGTCTCTGCTGTCAGAGAAAATATGAGGAGAGGTAGTGTGATTTCAGTGCCTCTGTTGTGAATTTTGAGGATGCATTTCTCCACAGCTACAGAGGTCAGTGATGCTTTGTCTTAAAGCACTTTGTCTGCTTGTGAAGAATATTTAAATACTTCAGTGTCCATGGTCTGGGCATATGTGAAAATGTTATTTTGTTTAAAGTCCAGCTGCGGTCAAATGCTTTCTTTGCCTAATAGTTGCTGTCTTCATAGCCCTCACAGGGCCCTGTGGTGCTCTTCATGGCCCTCACAGGGCCCTTCAGTCTTCCATAGCTGGGAGGGATCAAAGAGGGGTGGCCTGTGTTCTATAAGAAGCATTGCACCTTCTAGACTGCACTTCCACAAGCCTTTTCCCGTGGGCACAGTCTGTGGGCAGGCTTATTGGATTGTATGTATGCCTGAATATATCACTATATATTATCTCTATAAAGGAGATAATTTGTTGTTTTTCAAGAGGAATATATATAGAAAAAAACAGAAAACGAGCAGCTTCCCGGCCAGCCGTTGTAATTACACGGCCGGCCGGGAAATTTACATTCAAGTGATCGGGCGTCTCTAGAGACGCTCGATCGCTTGTATTAGCAGCTGTCACTGCCGTTGCCGGTCCCGAGATCCGCTGTGCCCGATGCGGCCGGGACCGGCAGGGCTCTGTGGCAGGAGATTAAAGGGAGTTCAGTGTACGAACTCCCTTTTGATCTCCTCTCAGTCCTCGAATGCAGGAAGTGATGTATATTACATCACTTCCTGCATTGTGTCACTCTCCAGCTAAAGAAGCTGATGCAGCAGATCTCTGCTTCATCAGCTTCTCTGGGGGTCCCTAGGTGACAGGGGTCTTGGAGACCCCTTGCAGGGACATGATCAAAAAGTGAGCGGGCGCCGGTATGTGTTCGCTCACTTCCCAATCTATTGAGACAACCTGTGACAGTCTCATTGTCACAGGTCAGCTAGAACTATGAGGCTGAGTGATTTTCACTCGCCTCATAGTTCTCCTTTAAACATTTACATATTAAGCTTTAATACAAGCCATAACTGAGCTCTCTAGCTGCATGTGCTGTGGAGTAATTTACCCTCAAAGATTACAACCGACACTGACGTTGGTTTTATTCAGTTTAAAACCGCTTACAACACCAGGCTGCCAAGTCTCTGCTGTCAGAGAAAATATGAGGAGAGGTAGTGTGATTTCAGTGCCTCTGTTGTGAATTTTGAGGATGCATTTCTCCACAGCTACAGAGGTCAGTGATGCTTTGTCTTAAAGCACTTTGTCTGCTTGTGAAGAATATTTAAATACTTCAGTGTCCATGGTCTGGGCATATGTGAAAATGTTATTTTGTTTAAAGTCCAGCTGCGGTCAAATGCTTTCTTTGCCTAATAGTTGCTGTCTTCATAGCCCTCACAGGGCCCTGTGGTGCTCTTCATGGCCCTCACAGGGCCCTTCAGTCTTCCATAGCTGGGAGGGATCAAAGAGGGGTGGCCTGTGTTCTATAAGAAGCATTGCACCTTCTAGACTGCACTTCCACAAGCCTTTTCCCGTGGGCACAGTCTGTGGGCAGGCTTATTGGATTGTATGTATGCCTGAATATATCACTATATATTATCTCTATAAAGGAGATAATTTGTTGTTTTTCAAGAGGAATATATATAGAAAAAAACAGAAAACGAGCAGCTTCCCGGCCAGCCGTTGTAATTACACGGCCGGCCGGGAAATTTACATTCAAGTGATCGGGCGTCTCTAGAGACGCTCGATCGCTTGTATTAGCAGCTGTCGTTGCCGGTGCCGAGATCCGCTGTGCCCGATGCGGCCGGGACCGGCAGGGCTCTGTGGCAGGAGATTAAAGGGAGTTCAGTGTACGAACTCCCTTTTGATCTCCTCTCAGTCCTCGAATGCAGGAAGTGATGTATATTACATCACTTCCTGCATTGTGTCACTCTCCAGCTAAAGAAGCTGATGCAGCAGATCTCTGCTTCATCAGCTTCTCTGGGGGTCCCTAGGTGACAGGGGTCTTGGAGACCCCTGATGTCTCCATAAAGAGGACCGGTCATGTAAATTGGCTATAGCATAGGGGACTTCTTAGCTCCCCATGTAATAGCAATAAAGTTGTGTGTAAAAAAAAAAAATAATAATACAAAAATTAAAGAATCATAAAGAAAACATTTTTTTAAGTCCCCGCCTCACATAAACACGCAGATATGCGTCGGGTGCGCCTACTTGCGAAAACGACAATTGCGCCTATTGTGCCGCACATCTTACATATCGCCACAAACGTCGGAGTGAGAGCAATAATTTTAGGGCCATTAATCACGATGACACTAAACTGATGAGCAGTAAAAGCGTTTTAATCGTCGCCTATGGGCGTTTTTTTGCGATTTTGCGGGCGCAAGCAATTTTAAGGCTTGACATGTTTGGTGTCTATTTACCCGACGTGACCCCGACTTTTATGTTTTACTAAAAATCTGGGTAAGAATAAATGTTTTTATAACATAACGTAGGGAGACTTTTTTTACATTTATGGTACTTTTTTCAGTACCATAAATGTATTTATTTTTATATATATTCAGGCCATTTCACTGACCGATTCTCCAACGATAAATCGTAATGTACATAGATTGTCTGTGAAAGCAATTGTGTTGTGCCCTAGGTGAACGAGTGGCATGCCCGGGCAGGAAAATTTGAGGAGATGTGCAGTGTGGTAATGACCATGTTTACTCGACTCTCTAACGTCCCCAACAGGACCATCTTGTACGACTTGTACCCCTATGTCTGGGACATCAAGAGTATTATTGCTATGGTGAAGTCATTTGTGCAGTGGCTAGGTAGGTGATTGGTGGATTACTGCATCCATTCACTCCATATATATTTTATTTATTTTTACCTCTGTGTTCCCAGCTCGGGGGAGAGGGGGGGAGGGGCAACTAGCATACAAAATGAAGTGGTCATGGAAAAGGAAAGGTGGAACTTAGAGATCAGTTTGTAAAATGTGGTAGCTTGGAGGATCTTATCCATTCATTGCTCATTTTGTACATGTGGCACAGGATGCTCTCTAGCAAAGTACCTCGTGGTTTGCTGAAACCGCACGTGTACCATGCCATCCCATCTATGACCCATGACAATAGTCTGCTGTGTTCGAAGTTCAGCTTTGAAGGAAGATATGATAGGAGGGTGGGCTTGTACATGGAGTTCACCCCTTAAATGAAGAATTGTTCATTTTGCACTTTATTTGCGCTCCATAGACAAAATGAGCACTTAACTCTTGCAGTACCCGGGGTAGCCTCACTGCATAGGTTAACTTTTCAAAATCCTGGAGTTCCACTTTAAAACCCCCAAACATATTTCCTGAAAGGCCTGTAGAATGAAATGGAGGTAATTGCAATTTTTTTAATGTCACACAATATTTGCACCGCTGTTTATTAAAAATATTACACTCAAATGAGGATTTTTTTTTTATTAGGGATGCACCGATATTGCTTCAAATAAACATATTATATATAATGTTTATTTGAAGCACTGTTTTAATAAAAATCCTGCTCATTAAGGCTAACAATGTTATATTTTTTCCCTTATTTTTTCAATAATTTTCTAGTCTGTAATTGTAATTATTTTATATATAAAATTTGTCAGGTCAGCGTTATTGTGAATTTCTAGCTGATGTTGCCAGATTTGGCCTAGGCATCTAG